TGGGAGTGAAAACCAGCAAAGGGAGGATCCTATAGTAAAGTGATATTCAACCAAATGAGAAACTAAGACAAATCAAAAATCAGAAATAAATCAAAATGACAGGGAATACAAATCATATCAATAATAACCTTGAATGTTCGTAACCTAAAGTCATCAATCAAATGACACAAATTGGCAGATTGGATTAAAATGTAAGATCCAACAATATGCTGTCTTCAAGAGACTCACCTCATGGGCAAAGACATCCACAGGCTGAAGGTGAAAGGATGGGAAAAAATTTACCACTCATGGATTGCATAAACAAGTAGGGTTCTCCACTCTCATTTCAGATAAAGTAGATTCAAACCAAAGTTAATCAGAAGAGGAAAAGAAGGGAAGTATATATAAGCAGAATATAATAATTATAAATATTTACGCCCCAAACAGTGGAGCCTCCATGTACATCAAACAAACCCTTCTCAATTTCAAGAGTCAAACAGACCAAAATACAATAATACTGGATGATTTTAACAATCATCTCTCACTACTGGACAGATCTTCCAAACAAAAACTAAAAATTATAGAACTAAATAATACAATCAATAACTTAGACTTAACAGACACATACAAAATATTTCATCTATCAATGAGCAAATATACTTTCTTTTTTTTTTTTTTTGTGGGGACTTAATTCAAATGTTTTAAGCAGTTACTTTTCCAATGAGTTTCACCCACTGACTTCATGGAATTATGGGTCAGCTTGATATATCCAGGTTCAAGGAAAATTGCCCACCAAGGATGTAAATGAATTCCCTCAACTTAGGAAGATATTGCCATGGGAGAAACTATATGGCAAATGAGAGCATCATTTATATTTCTTCTGTTCTATTATACATCTCAATTGAAATCTCAAGTAACAGTTACGACCAGAATCTCATATCCAGATTATTACATTGTTCATTTAATTAGAATCATCCTACTCGTGTCATTAAAATTTTCTATCCTCTGTAGATTCACTTCCTCCAAGGCCACCTTGCTGCACTCAACATTCATGGCAGGGCCACCTGGAGTCCCCAAGACCCAGGGGCCAGTCTGCAGTTTAGAGAGGGTAGAGTGATGTTTGGGCTCACTCTCTTTGGGGGTATGCTCTGGCAAAGCTCTTCTTTGGAGTCCCTGGGTTCTAGCGTCCTAGGCAGCCCAAAGTCATGGCTTGAGATTTTCCACCATGTTGCATGCCCTGTAGTATGCCAGGAAGTACCCTGCCTGAGCTGGAGCAGACACCCACAGGCTAAGAATGAGATTCTGACAGTTCAGCTGTCCCTGTGTTACTGGGGATACCCCCTCCAAGACAGCTGCCCTTTCCAAGCTGTAGTTGTTTACCTCCATGAAGGATGAGGACACTGGGATGAGGCTCCAGGTGATGGCTCAAAGTCTTAACTTGTCCAGGGTACCTGCTCTGCAGCCTTCCAGACACCAGAGGCTGACGACTGGGTAGATCAGAACATCAGGATGCTGAATGCCTGGTCTCCAAGAAAACTAGCTTAACACAGTCTCCTCAAATCTATATAGACCTCCCACATCCACCTGGTTCCTAGCATGGCTCTAGGGGAATTTAGCACATGCAGTAACAGAGACACAAACTTTTGAGGAGAGAAGCCAGTAAATTCTCCAGATATAATAAAAAGCATTTCTGCTTGCCCCCTTTCCCTTCCCTTTGGACTAGCTTTCTTTATATGCTTTCTTCTATTTAATTTCCCATTTTAAATCTGTAATCAGTCCATGATTTATTGTGGATCACAATGGCAAGGTGTAAAGCTTAGGAAAGACTTTTTTTTCCACTGATATTTATTTATGAGGGAGGAAGATGGAGGGCTAGAGGGAGGCAACATCCTGGATCGCTCTGTGATCCAGATCTCACCTAGTCAGAATACTGCATCTCTGAGAGTGTTAGAAGACCCCTATACACCTGCTCTCTGCAGAAATCACCAGCACTGTGACCCTGCACAGGGTTCTGGGCCTCAGTTTTAGAGCAGGACACCCGGCATTTGAGCAGGACCCAAAGCCCAAAGTTCTAGCCAAAGCAGGGCTCATGAGCATCTTAACAGAATCACCTATGAACACATCTGCAGATCTCCAAGACTTTGCTCTACTCCCATGCTGGTCACTCAGCTGCTACCTACCCACAGCACAATGCCATCGTCCAGCTTCCCCCACCTCATCAGACACCCTGGCACTGAAAGAAGACTGCCTCCATCTTGGCTCAACAGTCTCACCATATTAGGTGAGGGAAGCTCCCAGATCAGATCTTCAGCAGCCAGGTACCAAAATCCCAACCATCCCCCCTCTTCAGCATTGTTAACCCAACACAGGAGCTGCCCAACACAGGTGTGCAGTGCGACCAGGGAGCTTCCCACGGGAGCCCCTGTGTGAGAGGTTCCTCAATTGAGAACTGCTAAAGGAGACAGGATGAAAGTTTGGAGGCTAAGAGAGAGACCAGGAACTGGGGAATCTCCAGGCAAGATAGGGAGATAGTACCAGGTGCTCAAGTCATAGAAGTGACCCCAAAAAAGAGACTCATGAGGTGCAGTCTCCCTGCAGGGACTGGCAGATGCTACTCCCTGCTTCCAGAATCCCTGCACCAGGACCAATCTTTTCACCCTGGTTACCTCCACCCTCCTGAGTGCAGAGACACCAGCTTACAACAGACAACCCCTTCTATTGGATGAGAAGAGAAGCAGGAAAGATACAGATCTCTAAAATTAGCCACAACCTTGGTTTCTTCCTTTGAGATTTTTTCCCCTCTTCTACTCCTCTATTCTCCAGCCCTCACATCCACAACATATGTGAAAACAAGAACTTTGCATGAAATAGGACTTAGAGGACTGAGTCATCTGAATAATATAGTATAGAGTTGTTGTATCTGCTCTTTTTTCCTTTTCCTTTTTCTTCTTTCATTTTTCTTTCCCCTTCCATAATTTGCAATTTTAACATGTGCATTTTTCTAAATATATATGTGTGTTGGTTTTATGTACACTACTGTCTTCCCAAGTACTTGTCTACCCTAAATTACTTCCTGTCTATTCCTTTGCTACTAACCCTCTCCATTAGATTTCTTCTTTACACTACCTAAGGTATATTAACTCTATATCCTCACATCCTACTTCCTCAGGATATCATCTTATACTCCACTCCCAGTTCATTGTCCACCACCAGAAACAGTAAACCTTTTTACAAAACTACTGATTATATTTTAGATAATAATTGAATCCAACATTTCTGTACATTGAGACTAAACTGTAAACGTCTTAACAACAAGTTGTTCATAGGTGGTATATTGTTGATATTGGGTTCTGTTAACATTGTCCTTCCCCACAAAGGAAAAGACCCCCACAAAGGAAAGGTCTTGGAACCCTACAAGAGCACTACAAACCTATAGGGTAAAACCAATAACACTCCAGACCCACAGAGATGAAAAGGAAGACACATGAGCAACATGAAAAGAAAAAGAAAGAAAATGCCCCAAATAAATCAAGACACCACATCATTAGAATCATTGGCAGCCACATCAGAAGAAATTACGGATAAGGAGTTCAGGGTGTACATGGTTATAATGTTCTGTGAACTCAAGGAAGATATAAGAGAGCAAATGCAGGCAGTGAAAGATCACTTTAACAAAAAGCTACATAAACAAACACAGGAAGCAAAAGATCATCTCAACAGGGAGACAGAGGTTCTAAAAAAACAAACAAAAAACAACAACAATAACAAAAAAAATCCAGAAGCAAACCAAATTGCAAGCTCAAATTAAAGTATCACCAACAGAATAGACCACTTGGAAGATAGGACATCAGACAATGAAAGCAAAATATATAATCTTGAAAAGAACAGAGGCCACACAGTGATAATGATAAGTAACCATGAGCAGAACAGTCAAGAAATATTGGACAGCATAAAAAGTCCAAATTTAAGAGTTATTGGGATAGAAGAAGGCATAGAGGGCCACATCAAAGGAATGAACAATCTATTCAATGAAATAATATCAGAAAACTTTCCAAACATGAAGAATGAATTGAAAATCCAAATTCAAGAAGGCTACAGGGTGTCAAATATAAAAAGTCACATCAGATCCACACCACGGCACATAATAATGAAAACGCCCAATATACTGAATAAAGAGAATTTTAAAAGCCACAAGAGAAAGAAATTAGATTACATATAGGAGAAAACCAATTAGGATAACAGCAGATTTTTCAACATAAACCCTGAAAGCTAGAAGATCCTGGTACAATATATATCAAGCTCTGAAAGAAAATGGGTGCCAACCGAGAATCTTGTATCCAGCAAAATTAAGCTTTAGACTTGAAAATGAAATAAAAACCTTCCATGATAAATAAAAGTTAAAAGAATTTATAGCTAGAATACTGGCACTGCAAAACATCCTTGGAAAAATATTCCATGAATAGGAAGTGAAAAACAACAATGAAAATCATCAGAGGGTGGTAGTAGTACCCTAAAGGAAAAACTAATCAAAGAAGAAAATCAAGTCAAGTTAAATAACAAAAATAATCAAATATGGCTGGGAATACAAACCAGGTCTCAATAATAATCCTAAATATTAATGGCTTAAACTCACCAATCAAAAGACATAGGCTAGCAGATTGGATTAAAAAAAACAAGATCCAACAATATGCTGCCTCCAGGAGACTCATAGGAAAAGACATACACAGACCAAAGGTGAAAGGTTGGGAAAAATCATACCACTCACATGGACTTCAGAAGCAAGCAGGGGTTTCTACCCTCATATCAAATAAAGTAGACTTCAAGCCAAAGTTAATCAAAAGGGATAAAGATGAACATTACATATTGCTTAAGGAAACAATACACCAACAAGACATAACAATCATAAATATATATGCCCCAAACAATGGTGCAGTTATGTTCATCATACAAATTCTTCTCAAGCTGATATTTATTTGTAATTAATAATTTATTAATTAATGGGGGTTGGACCCAAGGTTGAGTGCAGCAAGGTGGCCTTGGAGGAAGTGAATCTACATGCCACAGATTGTCCTTCCATAAGCTCAGGTAGGTCTTCTCCTTGCACCATGCTCAGTAAGTTTTGTTTTGGCACCATGAGGCTTAAATTTCATCCAGCTCTATGCTGCTGCTGCTGCTGCAGAAGCAGCAGCAAGCTGTGATGTCAAGGTGAGACTTTCCTTCCCCCACCAATATTGGGATGTATTGGGCCTGAGGCAACCACTTTTAATTCTGCTCTAGGGCCACCCATAATACTGCATATCCTACACTTCCATCTACTACTGGACAGAAGAGCCAATAGCTGACTAGTAGGTGGTGAGTCAGCCAGGAGCCAATCACTGCTGGCCTAGCTGATTCTATCCAACAAGAGGCTATGCCCCCCATAAACAGTTCTGTTTATTGATGTTGCCTGGTAACGGCTATTTTTCTGTGGAGAGATACTAATCTCGCAGCGGCTATACAGTTGGGCGCTTTGCAGCGATTTAGTTCAGCTAATCTTTAGTTCGAAGAATCCGAGTTGGAGGCAGAGGAAGCCCCCAAGGGGAGCGAGTATCCAATGCCTCACAATGACCTTGGCCTGGAGGAAAATTGTTGCCTACCGTTTGGAAAATAAGATTTACAAATTTCACGAGGCTGTCAGAAATGGTGACTTACCTCGAGTGAAATATTTCCTAGCTCGTGGAAGTCACGTTGATGACACGGACAGAAAGAACAGGTATGGGATCTGGGAAGTCAGGGGCTGAAGGACAAGGGGCCAACTGGGGGAAGCAGGGTAATGGGTCTTCTCTATTGAAGCTGTGCCCATGGGGGCAGAGCAGGAGGGAGACCAACCCTTCTTTCAACAGGATACTTGACTTTCATACCCCCATGGAGGCTTCTGTACCAGGTACCTGCAAACCTTGGAGGTCTAGCACCCAGGCAGACTTAATGAGCAGTAAAACAAAAACAATTCTGTAGCTGGTTTCCCAGGGTCATATAATTCCAAATTGTCAAACTAATTGTTTAACGATTAAGTACATACAGCAGTTTATTGTTAATGTACACACTTTCACAAGTAGGTCACATACATTGTAGAAAAATACAAAATGAGAAAAAAATATTACTCATAATATAGCAACAAGAGGGCTAAAAAAATTCTTCAAATATAACCCACTATCTGTTGTCTACTGAGGAACCTTTATTAGAACTCTTTGAATTAAGAACATGGCTCCACGTTTGTTGTTGTTCTTTTGTTTTTTACCTTAATTCACACTAGTACATTTAGGAGGAACACTTTCACTCCTCACTAGATATTACTTATTTCTCACATGCTTAATGCAGTAGTTCATCAAATTCTGAAGGACAAGTTGATGTCATCTTCATTAGCCAACCAACTTCATAACAAGGCTTGTTGAGTAGTCCTGAATTTTTTGCAAATATTTCATTCACTTAAGTTACTTTTAAAGAGAGCAGACAATAGAGTTTACTGGCAGCTTTCCCACTTTCCAAGCATCAAACACATGTTGCTTTTCTAATTTTGTACATTTCAGGCAGATTACACTTAAAAAAAATGTGCCAAAAGCTTTCTGCACAAAATTGTTGATTCCCCTGTTCCAATATACTTTCTGTAGTTATCTCTTACTGTTTATTTGTTTATTTAAACAGAGAGAGCAGACCATTGGTCCACAGGATCAGGCAGTGCAGGCCTTCAGTCAGAAGAACAAGAGAGCAGCAAACAGAAGGTTCCCAGGCTGCACAAGCTGCCTGCTTCTCCCCTAATGTCCCTTGCTCTGCCTTGTTCTCAAGGGACAAAGGCTATCCATAGTAGGTCTGTGCCCTGGTGACAGTGTTTGTGAAAAGGAATATTCATTGTCTCCAATGTGTGAGCTCTTTCTATGGTTACTAATTTCACAAAAATTTTAAAATAAAAAATTAATTAAAATATCAGGGTTATAACATTTTTGAGTCCCACCTGCATGCAGTATTTAAGATCATGATGACACTACAAAAATGTTTATGTAGACAAAGTCTTGCCAATCTGGGTATCAAAATACATTGTAAACTTTTACGAATTACTTCTTTGCCAACAGCCAAAATATAAGTGAGTACATCAGGATAAAATACAAAACATGAAACTATCTGAAAGTATATTTAATATACTAGAATACTTTCTAAATGTTGCACAGAAGTTACCATCAAATCATCTATTTGAGGAGTGAGTCTTAAGTAGCTGAACCTTAAGCTGCAGAGTAAGTACAACTTCTCTGCATCCTCAAAATTTTGTAGCTCTGAAATATATTTCATTTCTTGTTAAATTAAATTCCTTCTCTTACCAGAAGCACAAATATTTTTTCCTATGTTCATATGTTACTTGAGCATCTGGACTTACATTGTCCAATGTAAGTCATTTTGGCTTTAGCAAACTGAAGGCCATGCATTCAGTCCTCAGCACCAGAATTAAATAAATAAATAAATAAATAAATAAAAGATTTTTAAAAAGGTGGGAAAAATGGAAGTCTTCTTTTCAGTTCTTTCTTTCTTAGGAACGTTCTTGCCAATATAAAATGTATAAAGAGGCATTTGTGTTTTCTTCTAGTACATTACTATGTAGAAGCAAGGGGAACTTTTCATCTGTGCTTATAGATATTATTACATTTCTTATAGATATGTTTTATTACATACATGCAATTATAGGTTACTAATTCTGTGGCATGCTGATAAAAAAGAGAACAAGTAATAAAAGATTATTACTACTGCCAAATTATTGCTTTCCTTCATAATTTTTGCTTTAAAAAACTGAACTCAAGTATACTTATCTGTTCTTTTATTTTATTCATTTATACCCATACTCTGAATACCTAGGATGTAATTGACATAATGACTCTTAAGACTCTTCCTTAAAAGCTTTATGTTTGATTAATCAGAAATTTAAAACTTCAGAGATAGGACTCAATTTCAAGTAAAACTTTTCCTCTTCCATTTCAAACAGAAGCACTCTGGTGGTAGGAAATTATGAACTGCCCATTTTAAAAGTTAAGACAGTGTTAAAAACTGAACATTGGAAATACCTGATTTATGTATATCCTGTAAATCTAAATATTGAATAGATTGAATCATGCTAATTCATTTGAGTCCTACATTTCCTTTAGCTTTAAATTACTTTAAAAAAAGAAAAGCAAGGATTACTATGGTTTTAATTTGGTCTTTTATTATTGTTTTATCGTTCATCTCTCCTTACCTATAGTATTTTTAACAACTAAAATTAATTTAAATGCCACTCATATGACTATAACCACTGTAGACCTCTTGTGTGTATCACATTTCACTTAAGGTAAGGTACTGTGTGATGGTCCTTTATTTCATGTATGAATAAAAAAATTGAATGCTGCCATTATACATGTAGTGGCTTTCCAATGTCAGTGATGTCAAAATGATAGAAAAAAAGAGCATCTAAGAGTCATTGAAATACATAGTCCCTACAAGATATTTGTAAAATCACTATAATAGGACTTCTTCATTAAGTGAAATACTCTGTTGATTCATAGTAATAGTAATAATTACAATAGCCAACAATTAATGAGCTGTTGCTTGTGCTAGAAACTGTTCAAACATTTTACATAGATTTTAATTTTAAGCATCACACTATCATCCCAGTAGGTAACTACTAATTTTAATCAGTATTTTATTGGAGATAAAATTGATGGATAGGAGAACTAAATAGCATGTCACAGAGGTTAAAGTAGAATTCAAGCAAATGTTGAGCTAAATTCAAGGTCTATGCTCTTTCTAGGCAAGTAGAACACTCTGGGATGGGATATAGCTCCATGGTAGAGACTTTATCTAGGAGGCTCCAGGTCGTGGTTTCTATGCCAGCACCTAAAAAACCAAAATAATCAAAAATAAAAGATCAATGGGACCAGACCCAGTAGCTTATGCCTATATTTCTAGTTACTTGGGAGAATGAAGCAGAAGCATTGCAAGTTCAATGACAGCCTGGGAAACTTATGGAGACTCTGCCTCAAAATTTAAAAAAAAAATCATAATAATAAAAATGGGCTTAGGATGTTGCTCCTGGATTAAGTGCTCCTGGCTTCAGTCCATAGCAGTATCCAAAAAAGACAAAAGAAAAGGTCAACAGAATAGGCTGCTCATTTATTAACTTAGTGTGTACTAACAGCTAGTAAATATTATACTTTCTTTAGAAAATAATAGAGGATTTGCATACTATTTAATGTTGATAATTGCATAAATAATCATGTATTTTGAGAGGATGCTTTATGAACTTCTAACAAAGCCTCTTGCCTTCATAGGACTGCTCTACATTATGCCTGTGCCTTTGGCCACCCAGAACTGGTAGCTTTTTTAGTGAAGAAAAATTGTAATGTTCACCTCTGTGACCGTGATGGCAACACACCATTGATGAAGGTAGATGTAGCCAAGGATATCTGCAGAAAAAAAAAATGATAGAAATGCTTAGAAGAAAAATTGATTAAGTCTATTTAATATGATTAATTAGTAAAACATATGAAATTTTTTTCTTGGATTGTCAAAATTTACAATTTATTTCTTGGTATAAACCCAACAGGCCCTACAATATCTGGAAGAGAAATGTGCAACTATCCTTCTAGAAAATGGTGCTGATCCAAATGCTCACAACAACCAAAATGAAACTCCTCTTCACTTTGCTCTTTCTCTGAAGAAAACATCACTAGCAGAAAAACTGCTTTCACTCAATGCAGATATAGAAGCCAGAACTACGGTATACACCAAACATGATTATTTCCAAAATATTTAAAATATGTTTGTTTTAAGTGTGACATTTTTCAACAAATGTGGATTTTTAAGCAGGGTTTTCTTGATCAGAATAATGACAGTTATTGAAATTTCTGTCCATCTTCTTCATCATTTTTATCTCATGAATTTATTTAATTTACATCTAAGCATTGTGTCCATATTTAAAATTAAGATGACTGATGCAGAAATCTGGAATCCAAGCTTCTTTTAAGAACCAAATGAGGTCCCCTTTGAGCCATGTTACTTGTGGTGTGGTGGGCAGAGAGTGCCTCCTACATAGCATAGATGAGTGTTCTGTAGTTTGCGGCTGGCAAAATGTAGCATTTGCTCAGATGATCTATTTTTCCTCAATAAATAAATATATAACTCTTGTATTATAGTATATTTTTATAAAGAATTCATACTTTTCTTGGTATTTTTATCAATTAAAAATAATTTGGATTGTATAACAAACTATAAAAATCTTTGAAATGGGATTAAATTTTAGAATTTAGAAATTGGCAATTTTCTTTTAAAATTATTAGTATAGTTTTATAATTATATATGGTACTTTGTTTACTTTGACAAACTTATGTGCATGCATGGGCCCCGAGTTTCCTCTCTTTTGTTCCTCCTTGGATTCTTGTTGATAGTTCAGGGGTTTTATCTCCTCACTTGTTTGGGTTAAAGTAATGTCAGGGAATGTTTAGTTCAGCAATACATTTTTTAACCTGTGAACTCTTAGTGTCCCTGTGGCTTCTCAACACAACATAGAATAGGGTTGAAAGAAACAGTAGTGATAACTGTTCCAAATAATATACCACAGAGTTAACGTTAATACCTAGATCCTGCTCAGATATCTCAACATTAATGTAGCCATAAAGAGGAGTAGTGAATTTAGCAATTGTCAAATTATAAACAATAACCATGAACTAGCTGTGGCTTTAAAGCCAATAGCAGGTGTCAGTCATATAACCTACAATACTAACGATTGTATTAGCATTAAATGCGGGGGACAGGAGCTACAATGTTAAAAATGCAGTTAAGTAAGAAAAAAGAAATGTCTTACAAAGTTAGTTAAGATTTATAAGAAAGTGAACAGAGAGAGTGCAGAAGATATTTGGCAGTAATATTTAGAAGAAGATAAGGAAAATAGAAGGAAAAAGGTATTGGGAGAGAGGGAGAGAGAACAATAGAATTTGGTTGTTACCAGAAGATAAGATAGAATGAGAGGACTGGGATGGTTATGCAGTCGTGGAGCACTTGCCTAGCACATATGAGGCACTGCATTTGATCCTCAGCACCACATAAAAAAATAAATAAATAAAATGAAAGTATTATGTCCATCTACAACTAAAAATTATGTACTAAAATTATGTATAACTTTTAGTTATGTACTGATAGAGCAAAGGAAGTGGATGTTAACCTCTTCCTGCTTTTTTTGTTACTAGTTGGAGTGGCCTAAGATTGAAGCTGTTTTACGTAAGAGGTATTTTCTTCTTTTCTGCATGAAGGGGGATGAGTTAGTAGTGTCCATTAGGACCAGTTTGATGCACTCCTGGGCTACCACTTCTGCAGCTTTCTTTAAGGGATGTTCTACCTGCTGGCACTGAGATCTAGTTGGCCTCAGGTCTAATTAGGTTTTGTTGCACCTGGCTTTCTTTGAAGAAACTAGATTGACCTACTCTTAGGCTACACAGCAGCCAATTTCTTCAATGGATCTGGTTCTCAGAAGCCTCCCAAGAAATCTAATTGTGGTTCATAGGGGATGATTCTACACTCACTGGAGCCCCAGAGCATAGCCTTTCTGGATTTAGTCCTTGACTGCATTGCCCCTCAATGACTCATATTGTTGGCCCCTTTCAAATGGTCTTTCAGCTGCCAAACACAAAGGAGAAATGAATAGAACTCCCCTTTCCCCTTCCAACAGAGCATGATTTTTAAGCATCTAGTGCAGTCTCTGGATCACATGAGTTTAGGCAGTGTTTCTGATGTGAGATTTCTCTGAATCAAGACACTCCAAAGATGCAGCTTGCAATGCAACCTCCTTTACTCCCCCTTGTAAGTCAACAAGTCTGTGCCAAATCCATTTCTGGAAGCCATTGGTCATGGGAAATGGCACTTTCTTTCTTCAGTTTTTTTTTACACTCAAATTTTGGAATCCCTAAGTTTCTTTGAATGTCCAATATTTAATTTTGGTGAAATTTCTCCTTCACCTACCTAGGCTGAGAAGCTGTATACCCACTTATTTGGTCTTTTAACACAGCACAGCTTGGAATGCAGCTTCCTTTATTCTGCTATCTTCCATTTCTCATAAATTAGAATTTTAAACACATTTTCTTATGTATACTATAAAAATCATATTCCCATTGGAATTTTTAAAGCCTGTTTAGGTTACACATTGTTATAAATAAAAAAAATTATTCACACTGCAAGCAATACTATCTCTTTCTCTTCAGTTTTGTCCCTTAAAAATGCAATAGATTTAGTATCTTTCATTATGCAAAAAACAGTTTATCGATATAGATCACTATGAAGCTCATCAATATGAAAAATTTCTGACTTACATTTTGCCTCAATTTATAAATTGTTTTAAGTAGCAACTAAAATGGCATAAGAGTAAAAGAATCTTGAAAACCAGATGTTCATTAGGGTCCCAGATTTACCATTAAAACTGAGGATATATGTTATGATCTTATTTTTATTAGATTGTAATAGTTATACATAGAAGTTGAATACATAGTAGTATATATAGTCATTGTTATACTTAGTAGTTTTGTCGGGTTTATCCCAACAAAATTATACATGCATGGAATTTGATTTCAGTTCATGATTCAATTCCTTTCCTGACCCTCTCTCCTTCTGTCCTTCCTGTCCTCCATTGTTCTCTTTCCTCTACTCTGATAGACATATGCTCCCTTCTCCATTTAGTTTTGATTGGTTCTTTTTACTTAAACAGAAAGATGACATTTCCTGTGGTATATTTGTATATGCACATAACATAATTTTTGAAGAGTTCATTATTTGTTGACTCTCCTTTGTTATCCTTCTACTTGGCCCCTCCATCTTCTCCTACTACACTACTGATCTTCCCTGTATCTTTTTGATATCCTATCCTTCCTTCCTCCTTTTCTTCATTTTATCCTAGCTTCCACATATTAGAGAATACATTCAACCTTTGAGTTTGTCTTTTTTCACTTAACATGATATTCTCCATTTCCACCCATTAACTAACAAATTCCATAATTTAATTATTCTTTATGGGTGAGTAGAATGACATTGTGTATACATACAACAATTTCTTAATTTTTTCATCCATCAGTGGGCATCTGGGTTGATTTTATAATGTAGTCACTAAGAATTGGACTACTATAAACTTGAAGTAGCTATATCACTATAGTATGCTGATTTTAGTTCTTTTACAAAAATAACCAGGAGTGAAATATCTTGGTTCTATTGTGGTTTGATCCCTAGATTTTTTTAGGAATATTCAAACTGCTTTGCAGAGTGAACATAGTAGTCTTCATTGTTTCCAACAATGTACAAATGTTCCTTTATCCAAACAACCTTGCCAGCATTTATTGTTGTTTGTATATTTGCTCATTACCATTCCAATTGGAGTGATATTAGCCCTTATTGTAGCATTTCTCTGATTGCTAGAGATGTTGAACATTTGTTTATATATTTGTTGTTCATTCATTTTCTTCTTTTGAAAAATGTCTCCTCAGTTCTTTTTCCCATTTATTGTAATAGGTTGTTTTGGGGGTATATTGTTGTCTGTGTTATATATTCTGGATATTAACCCCCTATCAGTTGAGTAGCTGACAGACTTTCACTGATTCCCAGGGAGAATATATTT